ATCCATTTGGCCACCTGAATCTCATACTCAAGTGGCCCGGCCGGCCACCTGAAAAAAAAGTTAAGGGCAAGCCCTGCTTGGTTAATTAATGGACAAGACAGCACACTTAATTGCTCAATGGATGATTGATTATGTATTGACAAACCTTGATTACTCGACACATAAAAAATAAAATGGCCGTTATAGTGGACGAAATTACAAAAAAACACATTAAAAAAATAACAGCCAAAGTTTCATGTTTTCGAGGTGCAAATATTAGCAGGGTGCATAAAAGCTATTTATAGCTGCAGGTTCGTGTGCCTTCTCACACCAAGGGGGCCCTTAACAAAGTTAGACATCACAGCAGCAAAACAGTGAACAAATGTGTGATAAAGGTTTTTTTTCTCCAACTTTTCTATTGAAAAAGTACATAGTTTTTTCCCCTTTTTCAAGCAATACATCTACTTGCCAATTGTAAATGCATTAATTTAGACTCCATGCGATTACCTCAGTGACATCTAGATGGTCAGGAATAACCTCCCGCATCTTCCGGCAGCAGAAGAACTGCAGGGACGAGGGGAAAGACCTAGTTGTGATCACCCGCATGCCGCTCCTCGCTGCCGTACTCGAGACAAACGGATACATCTTCTTCGCTTGCAGTCCGGTGAAGGCTACTCCTGTCATGTGAAGACACCAACGCTTGCATGACGAGATAGCAACAGCGCTCAGGCAGGGCTTGCTACTACTATAGTAACTTTGTAGAGAGCACTGATAACAATGATACTCTAGCAGAGGTTACCGCCACTCTCACGTTTTGTAGATACTTCTGATAGAAATTACATTCCTGCAGGTTACACCTAAACATGAAGCAATCCAACTTGGTTTCATTGCCAACTATAACTGTTATCATTGCATCATTATAAAAGAGTGAATTACTTCTGCATGCCCAACTTAGTCAACTTACCGAGAGGCCTCCGATTTTTGTAAAAGCGAAGCTCCCCTCGCCACATGTCGAGATGGACACCCACTATTGTGCCCTGGCCAAACTTGCTAGAGTACTTCTTTGGCTGCCCTTTGTGATAGAGAACACCTGAAAATGTCACGCTTCATCTGTTAATGAAAGTCACAAACTCTACACCAGTAAATCGGTTCCAGAAAGGTCATCTGTAATGAGTAGTATAAACACTCGTCATGTGAAACACCTTACCTGAATATGACAAACCCCAGCTCTCCCCATCCCTCCCTAACAGACTGCAGAAGGTGTGTGAGTACTTATCAACACTTGTGTCAGTTGTACCAATGCCAATCATCTGAAAACAGGTGCGATTCACAATGTACCTTAAAGCCGCACTATGCGCATCCAAACGCTAATTTCTCCAGTACTAGACTAGCAAATACTTCGTGTCATGCATAATCACACTACAGTACCTTATGGCAAAATAAACTCTAGTTCCTCCCATTTCAGTGCGCATTTGCTTAAAACCCACAAGAAAGAGGTGCGAAATCTGGTAATCTGGCGCCAACGCTAAATTCTTTGCCAAACAATTTCGCCAAGAATCGGTTAGGTGACGTCACATGTTTTTATCTTTGCTACACCCATACCGCTGTACCGCAGCACCGCTCCACGCTTGGCAGAGCAACGCGAAAGTGTCAACAACATCGGAGAATTTGAACAACATTGGAGGCATTTTCAAATGCCTTTTATAAGACAACGCGCAGTGAAATGGGAGGAACTAGGGTTTATTTTGTCATAAGGTAGTGTGATTATGCATGACATGAAGTATTTGCTAGTCTAGTACTTGAAAAATTAGCGTTTGGATGCGCATAGTGCGGCTTTAATGTAATGTATGTAACACAGGTTCAGTTGACCCCAATATATATTTAATGAGTAAAGATCCTGTGTATTTTTGCAAAATTAAAATTTACAATTTTATTTTAAACACATTTTAACAATTATGCAATTAATTTACACATAGATTTTAGTTTAAGATCTAGAGCAAATACGTGCTGCCTATAATCTTTTACATGACATAAACCAATGAGGCACTGAAGACTTCACATCGATTAGAAATCAGTATTTTCGACAAGATTGGTAGGTGAATGAATAATAAAATTCCCATTCTACAGTCCTTTCAAACGCGGCACCACCTACAACAATTGAACAAGCCGTACCATGTCTGTGCCATAGACGGGCGACGTCATTTTTATCTCCCAGAAGTTCTGGTCAGCGCAGACTGGGTCTGTCGCTCGCACAGCCGCCGTGCCGGAGCTGTAGTCCACGTGAAACATCACCTCCTTGTCTCCATCCAGCAGCATGCATGATGGAGACTTGACCTCGCTATCCCACGTCCACTCGAAATCTGCCCAAGTAATAATTCAGAAGAAACATTAATCACGGAAATAAGCTGTAAGGCCAATAAAAATATTATGTCTAGACAGGTAAAAACGTTTTTCTCCTACAAGATTGAAAATCCATGATTTTTGCCAGTATACAATTGTTCACAGTAGCCACATATAGCCTCTGCAATTTAATGTGTACTAATGTCATCATTGAATCGATGACATCACACACCTCAAAATTTTCTAACCAAAAGACGTATTTTTGTCACTACTTTTGCCAGTAACTATTATAGCGTCAGCTGCAAACAAGTAGAGACGAATCCATATGGTATGTCTCGAACAGCTTTATTTGCGAGGCAAACGAAACACAGTGAAGAATTTATGGCTAGTCCAGGTTGCGAGCGAATATGAACAAGACAGACAATCAGCGCCAAATATTCCTATCCCAAAATTGCTGCACCAACCTAGCTCTAATCACAAAAGAGTTCACAAAGCGCACCTGCTTTGCATGCGCAAGTGTAGATTATTTAACTGAGTCAAACTGACGGAACACTCCCCATCTGATATTTATAGAATATCACTACAAATCAAAATGCGTACAAAACATCAAATACACATTTAGTTGGCTACACAAAAACTACTTTGACACATTTCTCAAAATAGTTTGAAGTTGAACACTTTCGACAATCGCGACATCACAATTGTTAATTTCGGTCAATCAACATCAATAGTCCATCACACATCATAATCTGTTACAAGTAACACTGTCTCGTTCACTGGCCGCGTGTAACAGGTGGGTTTCCCGCTGTCCGCTACCACCCAAACCTTAACTGTACGGACCTTCCCATCCGCACTAGGAAGTGGTCGAATGAAGACGGTCATGGAGGAGAAGTAGGGGGCAGGAAGAGGAGGAGGAGGAGGAGGAGGAGGAGGAGGAGGAGGAGAGGAGAAGGTGATGGAGTAGGGGAGGAGGGAGGAGGAGGAGGGAGGAGGGGAGGAGGAGGAGCGGAGAAGGAGGAGGAGGAGGAGGAGGAGGAGGAGAGGAGAAGGTGATGGAGTAGGGGAGG